GTTTCCTGACTGACATCCCACTTTTGCTCTATTATTGGTGATTTATTGATTTATTTCTGCAAAAGAATTCATTCCAAGGTATCACACAGCAGCTACCATTTCAGAATGTTACATGTCAAACAGCCAGACAAACTGCATCTTTTCAGGAACTTTCAAACATCAAACAAATAAAACCTGGACAAAGAAAAGCACCTGCATTGTATTTCACACAGCTGTAGCAAATACCCCAAATACTTTAACAAAAGTGACCCCAAGGTTCCTCACAGCCGCTCCTGCGCTGACACAGGAGCGGCGAGTCCGGCGACCAGGCTGTTTCGTCTTTGACGAAAGCACAGCATTGCAAATAAGAGCAGAACTTAAAGAATCAATCTCACCAGGCTAGTAACGATCCGATACCGATGACGACTTGGTGTCTATAAAATCGTTATTTGGATCGATCCGCCTACCACTACTGTAAAATGTATTAACACATCTAAATAGGTTTTTTGACTGGAGAAGAAGAGCATTATAGACAAGTTACAAATGAACCTTTGATTAATTATGGAATTAGTAATGTTAAAACGAAGAAGCTTTAAAAAATAAATAAATAAAACATAGCGCATACTGTAAAAGGCTGAACCGCTCACTACCTGCATTTTAAAATTGACGTCATAGCTGGCTACAACAAAATAATAAATAAATTCAAAGAAATTATTGTAAAAACAGAAGAGTTAAAGTTTATCATTTTGTCCACATCTCCCGGCATCCAGCGTTCACACTGCTCAACCTCAGTTTTCAGCTCTTTACATCCTCAGCTCTGCTCTTCAAACCTGAAACCATCCGATTCTACTGCTCTATTCTCAATTTCACTCTTTATTTGCTCGGATTAGTTCTCCACACTCAGAACTCTATTGCTCCCAAACAGCCAAGTGGCTGGCCAGTGTATCTGCCACTGCTCAATATCCTATCTGCGACTCACACACTGCTAGCCCCTACTTTAATGATAACAGATGGCTAATGTGGCTAACAGGTAATTGCTAATAAACTGCTAATGTTAACGTGTGGCCAGGTTAAGCTTGCTTAACCTGCTAAAATGGAAGCTTTACCTCTCTAAATTCCCCCTGCAGTACATGAACGTTAATTACTTCAGCTGTTAATGAAAAAAGAAGCCATGTGCAAGTCTGCCTGCAGTGTTTGCAATTTAATATCGTAATTGAATATTCATTTTAGTATCAAATTACTATAATACATGAGTACTGATTCTTTTAAACCCTAGTACTGGGTGTATGTTACTTTGTGCTTCAGTACAGATAAACTCAGTTAGCTTTCTGTTAGCTGTTTACAATTGTTTGTGTTTCTTCTGCTGTCTTACCTCAATTATCCAACATTTTCACACAGTTGAACTCCCAATAAATCTGTTCTTCGATACATATTATTAAGTCACAAAACAGAACAACTTTGAAACATGGCAAATTAACTACGGGGCAAAGCTGCTAACATATTTAAGCCGTTTCCCAACCCGCTGCTACACATCTGAAGTCCAGATTTTTGTAACCATGACGTTGTCAAAAAAACTCTACATTCACAAGTAGAGAAACTCAAAAAGAAGAAGTACGATGATAACTAGGGCTGCCACAAACGATTATTTTGATAGTCGACTAGTCACCGATTATTTATGCGATTAGTCGACTAATCAGATCATCATCCACTGGACGTAAAACTACAGCTTATTGCACCAGCAGCATCTGCTCTTATATAACTATCATTAGCTTACAGCTTTAAGCTTTTAAGGTGCTAACTAAAAATAAAGAC